ACACCATGGCCAGTCTTATACACCATGGCCACTCTTATACGCCATGACCCACTCTGATACACCATGACCAACTCTGATACACCATGGCCCACTCGGATGCCCCATGCATGACCCATTCTGATACACCATCGCCCACTCTGATATACCATGCATTATCCACTCTGATACACCATGACCAACTCTGATACACCATGACCCACTCTGATACACCATGACCAACTCTGATGCACCATGGCCCACTCTGATACACCATGCATGACCCATTCTGATACATCATGACCGACTCTGATACATCATGCATGACCCATTCTGATACACCATGACCCACTCTGATACACCATGACCAACTTTGATGCACCATGACCAACTCTGATACACCATGACCCACTCTGATACACCATGACCAACTCTGATGCACCATGGCCCACTCTGATACACCATGCATGACCCATTCTGATACATCATGACCGACTCTGATACACCATGCATGACCCATTCTGATACACCATGACCCACTCTGATACACCATGACCAACTTTGATGCACCATGACCAACTCTGATACACCATGGCCACTCTTATACACCGTGACCCACTCTGATACACCATGATCCTTTCTGATGCACCATGACCCATTCTGATACACCATGACCCACTCTGATGCACCATGACCAACTTTGATGCACCATTTCCAACTCTGATACACCATGGCCACTCTTATACACCATGACCAACTTTGATGCACCATGACCAACTCTGATACACCATGGCCACTCTTATACACCGTGACCCACTCTGATACACCATGATCCTTTCTGATGCACCATGACCCATTCTGATACACCATGACCCACTCTGATACACCATGCATGACCCATACTGATACATCATGACCGACTCTGATACATCATGCATGACCCATTCTGATTCACCATGGCTGACTGATACACCATGCATTATCTACTTTGATACACCATGGCCCGCTCTCATACACCATGACCCACTCTCATACACCGTGTATGACCCACTCTGAGACGCTGCTGCTTCCCCCAGCTCCACCTGTGTTTCCACACTGAAGGGCCTGCACCGACCTGACCCGGCACAGACTGACTGATGCGAGTGTTTTCAATGAAGGCACGCTTCTAATTTACACCTCAATGTTGACGATAAATATCACCTCACAGCATGCACATGTCTACCTTAATTTGATTACTGCATACTTTAACAGCACATTTAAGGGGATCTGAAAACTCGGTGTTATCAACCTTCCTGCTTTGTCCTATCTTCGTGGTGGCCCAGTTTCGTCCCTTTGGTGTGACAGAAACCTATGAAAGCAATATGAATCCCGGAGTGGTCCTGAATGATGCTTGGTTTGGTAGAAGCATCGTGTTGTTTAGGGCTATCCTTGCAACACACTGGCACCCCTTGATGTAACAGAAACACTACCGTGATCCAAACTCACTCGAACATTGGGTGTTGTATACTGCAATCATATATTGATTTGATTTTTCTGCTGTTTAAAGAAATAGTTTAAAATAACCTAATCAGGAGACTCAACTGTTTGTGAAACACATGCACATGTACAGAATATACTCACCATGGATAGCCTTTACATCGCGAACTCGGAAGATATGGGAGATAATCTTAAAACCAAGAATATAATTAAATCGACTCTCCTCTACCTAGAAGTATTTGAAAATCCCTGTTATAACCGAACATCTCGCCATCTGGATGTGTGTGTGTGTGTGTGTTTCAGATTGTGTCTGTGTGTTTCCGTGTGTGAGATAATTTTCTTTCTTGGGTGGGGTTATATTGACAGGTACGTGAGGTTTGGTTTAACATATGGTATCAGGATTACACATTTAGCATTTGTTATCATCACTTCCACATGCTTTTCATTTATCGACAACCAACACATACAAACAATTTGATCATGAAATGTTGCCAATAGTTTCATCGTGGTTAACAATGATGGTTTACAATGTGAGCAATACAGGTTTGGATGTAGGCTAAAAATAATAGATTTCGTAACGGTTTCCAATATAAGCAGGACTTGAATGAGATTCACACAAAACAGATTTCAACACGGCCAACGTTGATACGACAATTTTGATCATAATTGACAGCAAAGAGATTCCATAACTGTTTACAATGTAGGCATGATAATTAATTGTGATCATAACTGGCACTTAGTATGTCATCACTATTTACAATATAAACACTTACAGTTTCAGTTATGGTACATTACCACCCAGGCAGTTTTATCATCATTTTGGACATGAACTATTTCTGTTTTGACTCACATGGTAGTGTTAGGTATAAGCATGAGCTGTATATATTCTCAGAGTAGATTTACAAAAATCAGTACATAATTAATGTACCCACCATTTAACCGTTAATATATATAACCGTGGTTGATACAGATGTTCAACACTTCAATACAGACAGGATTTAACAACCGATAACATAAACACCCAGTGTCAACTCTAATGTCCGGTGATCCATTCATAATAGGGTTTTTTCATCAACATTTGGTTATTTTCTAGTTTAGGAACCTATTTTCTCAGAGTTTTCGAGACTAAGTGATTTCATGTGTTGACGATTTGAATTTAAATGTAAACATGGCAGTTGAAATAATAATGTTTACAAACAACAGCTTAAACCTGATTCCTTATGATGATGGAAATGGGTTTATACTTGCTATTATGCCACGCTTATAAGCACATGTGCTCACCACAACATTAATCGAAACTGACACAGAACAAGCACAACTATAGTACAGTCAAGTATATATGGATGACAACTTCTATTATTCTAGAGCTCGACGTTTCGATACAGGTTCTTGTATCGATTTCAAGTAAGAATGGTACAGGGAGAGAACAGGTGATATATTATACAACAGGACTAATTAACAAGGCTAAAAACACAACTATGGTGTAACGCGGACAGTTTTACAGTTTAATCACGGTTTTAGCACTAACATATTTAGTCAAGTTACGGTATTTTAGTTCTTTGTCGATGATGAAGCATTAATAGGTAGCATATTTTGAACCATAATTTATACAAATTATGTGAATTCTTGTTTTGAAACATAGTAACACGATTTCATCTGTATGTGTGTACATTTGCTGTTTGATTATGTTTCACAAGCTTGTCGGAACAGGGTTAAAAGTCATATTTTGGTTTACACATATATTGTTTGTGGTTCGCACATAACTACGAATATTACATGTTAAATGTTTAAAACAACAACAGAAAATAAATTACAGTTACTTATGGTGTGCACGCGACACACGTGAATTTACAAACATTCCATCTCCGACCGTCAGCGAGATAAAACTGTTCTGATTATCAACTGTATATTTATTCACCTTTGCGCCAGTTGGAATAGTTTTCGGCAAATAATCTGATTCTTCTTTTGCGTTGTTGCATGTTTTCAAAAATATGTGTAAAATATAAAAAAATTGCAAAGATGGGCATTTTAAATGCAGAGGTGAAAATAGACCTTACATTCTATATTACAAAGTTTCACATAAAAATGTTTTAACCCGTACACATGCATCATTGAGAACTGTTCTACATCAGTAATTGAGTATATTGTCATTTTTACATCTCTCGGTGCAGGCGAAAACCAAGGATTTGCTTCACATACAGTATTAGCACCGATTAAGGGGATCAAACCTGGTCCTTGACGTGCGAGCACTTTAAGCACCGGCGCCCCAACGATTCTTGCGAACCAGGAAACGCATAACGTACTTGGATAAATCATTTTCATGCATAACTTAACATTTGAAATATGATTACTGTTCATCCGATCCAATATTAAGTTGTTTAAACGCATTCACTGTTAACAATTTAAAATATAAATACACAGGTCAAATCAGACGAATTTGATATTGTTGGTATTCTCATAGTTTTAAGGTTATTTTAATTATAGTTTAAGAGTGCACAATATTTTCATAGATTTTTTAAAAGACAATAAATGATTGATAGCTTCCTCGCTATTTTCGAAATTACAATGAAGAAATGTGGTTTGTGAGGAGAATTTAATCAATTTGAAAAATGGAGCTTAGCTTTTTCAATTCTTTGTAACACGCGAGAGCAAACATCATTGTTTTGTCTTTTCGTTTAGTGACAGTTTGCAGAAGAATAAATTGCCCTGTTTCCAGTTATATAAACAATTTCGCTGTTAGAGAAAACAGGGTAGTGTTAAAATGGCTCTGCGACTTATCGTAGGACGGGAGTTCTCGTTACTTACAGAGGCTGGATTAAAAACGTTTGCATCCCCGACACTCCTCAGCCTAAAAAATATGGTGAGATTAAGAAATATTGTATTGCCTTCAACAATACACAATCTCCAACAAAGTGAAGCTTGTGGTTTTAGTCAACGTAATATGACCCCGCTTTGTGTCGATGCAGTCCACAGTGTCTCCTGGCCTCGCCATCAGCGTGAGTTAGGGACCCCGGGTCAGGGGGCAGATGATTAAATGCCTCTCTAGCCCCCCGAGTGTAACAAGACTAGCGGAAGCTGTTATGTGTTGAAAGAGACGGTATCGCGTCGACCAATTAAGTGATACCTAATCCGCGAGCAGAACACATAGACCCGCCTACAATATCTGAATGGCGACTTTACATTAGCCAATCGTAGCGTTCGTAACATGCAACGGAGGTGAAGCTCTTGCCAATAGACCCACTGAGAAAGGTTGCGTGCGATAGGCGATTGTGTGCTGATGATTAGTCTCAATTCTATTTTCTTGAGGTAATTTCCACGAGGCAGGACCATTTCACTTGAGAAGTCAACAACAGAGGATGAAAATTTGTGAAATAGGCGCATGAATCAGTAATCACAGAGAGCGGAGTTAGACGGATCACAGTACAGAAGTTAAGAATCTACTTCACCCTCCCAGGAACTCTTACTGTCATAGGATGGACGTACAAGCTGATGATGTTGTAGACAGATCACCTACTGTTGTGGGGGACTCTGACAGTGACGACATCGTCACGGTGACTCGAGAATCCTCTGTTCCGTCACCAAAGACCACCAACTTCAGTATCGCTGCTATTCTTGGGGGTCATTAACGACAAAAACTCAAAAGCCCGTCCAAGAGCCAGAAGAAGAAGAAGACGACGACATTGAAATAACAGTTGGTAAGAATATCTTTATACTTATTATTTCTTTTAAATAACACATATCAGCTCTAAAAATATGTATACCGTATGATAATTACGACCCGTCCGTGTATTCGAGATGGTAGGAGAAAATGGCCCCGCACACAATATCACCAGAAACTACAAAACAGTTAGACATTAAGTCTATCTCCTTGTGTTGTCTAACTGTTCATCTGTTAGTAATAAGAAAACACAAATATTTCAAAATACACACTCCATATTTTTTACAATCGTGAACAAATGTCAAGAGACTATACATCACCCTCAAAAAGACCCAAAGAAATGAAAATTGTACATTTAGCATCTTAAGGTCTGATATATTATGTCGGATAAGTGGTATACGACTCTCGACACAATACTCGGAGCCCCCTTACAACTGTATACAGTCTGTCAATGGGCGACGTTGGTGGGCTTTCGTGATCCTTGTTAAAAATACCCCATGCCTAACATTTGTGGGGTTTACGTAGTCAGTTAGAATACCTCCAATTTTTCTCAGGCTCCAAGAATTCTCAAATTGTCTCTGCAATATCTCAGCGTCCATGGGCTCCAGCCTGAGCGTTGGACGTTTTTTCTGTAGGAGTATACACACCCTGAACCTTGTCTCTCTGATAAGAGTTGTTTCCAGGCGCTGTCTAGGCGTGTCCAAGGCACTGTGGTGTTAAAATCTAAACCTTCGTAATTCGACTTATTTACTGTGGAATACATAATAATCATTAGACACCATGGTCATGCTTAACGGTGTGATATGTTATATTAAACGTCAGCGCCGAAGATTGATCAGTATCGAATAATTATTGTTGTGTTATATAATAAGTCAACGAAACAACCCATTTGTGTTTGACAAACGAACATTTAGATCCATGTTTAATATAACTTCGTGAAGTTGTTACACAGATACGGATATTCCTCCTCGGTTTGAATAGAACACTTATTAATTTACTAGTAAAATCATCCGGAAGAATTATTGACAGTGACATGTCTATATTAGATGATGCTGTTTCTATGTCACATACCGTTTCATATTATTGTTCTAATTATAAACGCCACACGTGCATGCATTTTCATGTTAGAGTTTAATTGATATACATATTAGAAGGAAAGTTCATGTATCAGAAAGAGATTTTCAGTCATATCAATGTAGCAATTTAAACTTTATTTCACGTATTAAGAAAATGCATTCCGTCAGAATGATCCACTAACGGCTACAGTAATAGAAGTGTGTTTTTCGTTAATTTCCACATGGCCTGACAGTGTGCTAAAATATAACAACTTGAGACATTTATCTGTTTTTACAGCAACCGTTTGAATTGTTTAGAGTAGTGTATGAGAGATAGATTGGAAGTACTAATACAAAGATGTATTTCACACTTAGCACAGAAAGTATACATTCATCAATACCGCCCAATTGTCTACTCGACCAAACATAATTTCGGAAGCAAATATAGTAAAATTCAAACTGTGATAGTCTGACATAGTTACTTAATCTTAATAAATGTAATATCACAACAACTGAAAATCCCATTCTCATTACTCCCATACAATTAAAACAGCTGGTGTTCGAAAACATGTGTTAACATATGTCCTTGAGTTGTCAACTCGGCAACCTTAAATTTAGTATGAAGATACAATACTGTTAAGTTATTTTGTTCATAATTATGATAAGTAAATATTATTTATGTGAAAAAATATAATGCGATAAAAAAATGAAATATTGGTTCGTTTTCACATGTTATGACAGGTTTCCAAAACATATCAATACCATATATAATCCCGATAAATGAGCAATAATACCAAACCTCTGCTGATTATTAAGTAGTAGTATTTTGAAAGGAAAATCGTCAGTATTTAAATACTCTTCCCTCAATAAAAAATGTAACTTAAACAATGTCAGCTGTTGAAATACTTCAATGTTTCAAAATTCATATTTGAACATATAATCGCCGGTCACAATGAACAGATTAGAGTGAATGAACATGTTCTGCGAATACACGCCATGAATGGAACAGTGTATGCCAGTGAGCGACTTGCAACCTACACCATGATAAGCCTGTAGATATCTGTACATACGTCTGACAGATAACTGCGTTAAGTCACCCTGAAGTGCCACCAACCACCCACTCAGCCCAATCTTGATGAGAATTCTTCAGGGGTTACATTGAAATATTTTTAATCATTACAGATTTTCCGTCGAAAATCGAGGATATTATCAAATTTTGTTTAACTCGATTACTAATAACTACCTCGTTATCTTAATTACGGTACAACTTGTTTATCGTTAACTTAACGCTCACATGTTTTAAGATTGACAATCGAGTGTAAATATTTTTGTAAACTTCAAATCTTACAGCTAATTAAGACGAAAATGGCATGTTCACCAAGGTTGAAGGTTGTTGCTATTTTGTAAACTTAATTTGCACAAAAATATCTCTCCCGTATATTACCATGTCGATAAAAAACACATGATATAATATATTGAGTGGGAGAAAGATAATATTTCGTATATATCACTACAGAAATTAGTTACAATCATGATTGAATCTTAAACGTCCTTGAAACATGATTCGTTAAGAATGATTTTCATATTTATCGTAAACATATTTGCTCATCATAATATATCCGAAAAACCATATATCTCACTTGTATAGATTTCTGTCAAACCCTTTAACCGATATACCGTTTTATTGCTCCTATAAATGTCGTTCTTTCTATACATCGATCAAAATATTTGCGCATGAATGAACGATATTCATATGTATGAACATTACAGACCTGTATAACGTTTCACTACCCAAATATTCTCAGTTTTATCAATAAATATATAAGGATATCATTTTATGGCGTGTGCTTTTTTGTTGAGATGTGGAATCATGCAATATCAGGATTGTATTTCGTAGAGGAAAAACGTACCATTGTCATTAAAGATAAGTTAGACACTTATCATTTTACGAATATTTTTCCTTTAAATGTTTCAGAATCGGCTGATGATGAGAGAGTTGAAACACCGGAAGTTAGCAAAATCGCAGAGGACACACTAAAAGTGGTTGGAGAGCTAGACTGCGTGGAGTGTCGCCTTGAGACGAAGGAATTATGGGACAAATTCCACGATCTTGGAACTGAAATGATTATTACGAAAACTGGCAGGTAGATACACAGTTTTTGACCATTCAAACTAACATAGGCTATATCAATGACGCAAAGTTTCGTTATCAATACTTGATGAATTTCAAATCGATTACGTTCAGCAGTGACGTCGTATTGAATTATTCAATGTAGTACTGTAATATCATATTTCTTATCAAAGGCGTCAGAATTATTTGAATTTTACTCGGAATAAACGTTTACTGGTATGAACGTCTACCCGTTGACGTCCGAAAATATAAGCGATAAAACGCTATTGTCATCTACAGAAAATGTGAAAGTGTCTAGTATGAGATTCAAGGTGAATTTAGATCAATAAACGGCTGTATATTCGTAGGGCGAAATATGGTGCCCTGAAACTTGAATATTAGAAACTTTAGTTTGAGTGAATTCTTGTAAACGGCTTAACAGATACGAATTTGTTAACGAATTAACGAGTTAACGAATACGAGTCAGACTCATGCCTTTTACTGTGGGTGGCAGTTTATAAGTCACAATCCGATACCACGAGGCATGTTGGTGTAGGTTGGTCAGATTCATTGCATTCACCGACTGTATTGCTGTGGAATACACCCAGAGAGCCCAAGTCCAGCGGGAGATTGTATTGTAACTCTGCTACCGGAGATTTCAGTAACACGAGGATCGATCGGCCAGTACAGTGGTTCGCCACTGATGGTCCAACACAGCTCGCTTTGTCAGTCGCTATTTGAACAATAGACGAAGCATTTAGTGACAATGGTGGTATATAGGGGGACAATAATCACGATGACCACGCTCAACAAATGACCACAACACACCCATAAACAGTCGTATGTGCTAATTTGTGATGATCTTGACTTGTAGCAACATTTTAACGCGGTCAAATTATCCCTTGTCGGGGATCATAAATTGCCCGGTTATGTCAACCCCATGATATCATTACGGAGGAGGATTTAGGCGGAGACTGAACGCAGGTGATGGCGAAACTGTTTTCCAATTACAACCGGATAATTACCGGTCAACGACTATTTGTTGGGAGTTGTGTCTGTTGTGGCGATTCACGGGAAATTCGGTCTTTGTCGTGATCAGTAATTAAACGCATGCTCACATTTCGCGAGTCAATCTTAAATAAATCAGACTATAAAAGTCCCATAAAATCTTGTGTGAATGCTCAAAGACTACCTCCATTCTCTGCTACAACATTGACGGGACCCCTGCGGCGAAAATGGGAGGACCTCGCTCCCTCACTTTCAATGGCAGCCTGATTGTGCAATGACATTAGAAACAAGGTTTATGGTCTAAATGTGTCTGTTTATTGTCTCAAATAACTATCATTGGTTAAAATGATCGTCTGGTAGGGTAAAATGGTGATTATTCAATCTATAGGGTCTGACATATTTTGAAGTCAATTGAAATGTACTTATCTATACCGAAGCTTGTGTTTGCTATGTAATTAATGCATGCTCGCTTGCAATATGCATTCAACATCACGTGGCGTTTAGAAAACAATTAGCCCATTTATCATGTTATGTGATCTTGTTCATGGGGACGTGGCGCTCCTTTGTAAAAATGTTAACAATTTCAGTCGTTCCACAGTCCGTTTTTAGGGTGATGTAATTTATAGTTTTCGTCCTCCCACGAACGACACGAACACCTATATTGAGAACATCACGTATTTAAGCACACCATGTGCTTAAACAGCATGTTCCCTTAGGGCATGGACAAGGGTGTTTGTAGTTCTGTATTCCTGAGCGAGAAGGCTCTCGTAGTAGGCAAGAGGCTCGTGTGTCCGCCCGTGGTACGGGTTCGATTCCAAATATGGTCATGTTACGGAGAGATCACTTACAATATCCACAGCTTCCTCACCATTGTGAATTTATGATCAGGCCATCCCTACTTCTCTGTCACAATCAAAGATTTCCTAATTTTCACGATTGTCTCAAGGCAATTATATCTTCATATTAGATGTGGTAAGTGACGGTTATGTTGGTATAAGATACTAAGTGGTACCATAACTATGACGAATCGGACTTAACTTGAATATGAAAAGAATTCATACAATACAAATACTAATTTTGTGTGCATTAACAGTCGGGTTCCTTTTAGCAACAATTAAAACTTAATTTAAATTACTATGGAATTAAAATGTTTTGGCAATTTTTTGACAGCACGAAGATATATCGGTAACCTCTATGAATTATACCATTCTTGCTGGTGAGATGTTTATACATTGTTGCATGTTTACGTTACGTCAACCGTTTATGACCCCTCCTCGAGACCACCCAATCCCCAACACCACGCACCTTATATTCCCATGGACATACATATTCTTGTTTGGATTGCAACAACCAAATACCCCTTCAAAATCTGTCGTAGCTTCTTTTATAAAGAGGTAACGAGGGACTCTGTTGAACCCGCAATGGGCGCCAGTGGTCGCCTGCAGGTGCGTGGTGGTAAATTAATCTGGTAGGGTGGGCATGCGTTATTGTTTCTCATAACTTTATTTTCACTCTTTTTGTTTATTTACTATGTATAAATTCTGAATAATGGCCGTTACTGTATTTGTCAAAACTTCTACCATACTTCATCATTACACCTTGTGTGCGGCCAATAAAGATACTGTATGTATTCTTATTCCTGGCAGTAGTACAGTTATTCAGTTGATCTTGGAAAGAACAGTCAGTGTTACATTCACATGCCCATGTAGAAATATATACCAGTTTTTTAAGCGAATGTCATTTATTTCGTAAAAACATGATACACCAGTTCATATCTTATCTTTGTAGACATGACCAAGAGTCTCTCGAATTTGTTACTGCACATTATAATATCCACTCACATTTTGCCAAAGTTACGAAATACTAAACTAGTAAGAATGTACCCACATTATAGAGAGAGAGATAATGTTTATTTGAGTCTCACTTTCTGTACATTGTCATAAAATGCATGCGTTTTGTACAAAAGTTAATAGTACAGAAACCACCCATTAGGTTATGGGAGACGATATTAAATCAACACATCGAACATGTAAAATGGTTTTCGTTGTTGTCGTTTCCAAACTAAATACTCACCTATGTATGTAATACAACTCTCCGGCTTTCTCCCATAACAACAAACCTTGAGAATTGTAATGGATTACCAGGCAAGGTGTACCAGCTTTGGAAATCAATAAAAGAACGCTTTGATTATATCGATAAGAGGAAGCCTTGAAATATTTGTTCTAAGATTCCTTTTTAGAACATTATTACTTATGACACACATGCCCTGATGTTTGATGAAGCATTTGCAATTTACTTCTGCATCCATGAAGCTTTTTGAGATAAATATGATACAAATACTTGTAACAGTTCAATAGACGATTGGTTAAAAAGATAAACGCCACATAGATAGAGGATGTTATCAGTGGATGAAACGTTCCGGACTTATTTATAATATTCGCCCGTGTTTGTTTCTACTGTATATAATTCACGACATCCAGCTCTGCGTGTACCCAAGTCTTTTGTTATCTTCTAAAGAACGATGTGGACAATAAACTATCTGAGGGAAAGTTCAAAACTTTTCAACTCCGCGGATAGGTAATGTGAGCTTTAATTAAAGATTTCTTCCTGTAAGTGTTATAGAAGACTATATAATTGGACTTGGCCAATCGGGGCAGAATAAACAATATCATTTTCATTCAAATGTTCTGAAGATATCGCTAAATAGGGGACACTCCCATGATAATAGATTAGTCAATTAGTTTCTTGTCTCTTTGATAAAAGTTTTTATTTCTCTCATTTTCTCCGTTTCCTTCATCCCCCTATCGGAGAAATATCACAACCACTATCATCACCGAATCCTTTAATCCAATTAAAGCATTATCTCGTTGCACGACTGTTATACGGGGGCTCGCGCTGCCTTCATCTCGCTAGTACTTATGTTATTGGCAATTTTGTATCATGTAATTAAGCGTGGAAGCCAGAACGCGATCTCTACTCCGTTTGTCAATGTGAGGATTTAATGTCTCTCTATACGGATAATTTACGCGTTCACTACGTTGGGAGAAAATTAAGAGTTATTTTGAACTAGCCTTTATCGGGGTTAAAAAGAAGTAATTTGTCACGATGCCTTTGTTTTTTTAAATACATTCATTATTCGGTACTCGTTTGATGTATGCCTTTTGCTCGAGCAGATCGCGACGGAATATAAACCCGGTAATAGGGTTGTCAACTTAAGATAAAATGCGCTACTGCATTTCGCAAAACACTATCAGAAAATAACATTGGTGCGTTGCAGTGACGACATCGCCTTCATCAAATTACTAACTATATTACCCCGTATGTCCTCGCGGTGGTTGACGAAGTCAAACACGCAAACTTCCTCTTCATCATTGAAACAGGTTGACTTTCCCCTCCTCTTATGCTCTGCACTGGCCATCAGTTCAGGCTAGATTTAATAGGGTTGTTAGTTCGAACGATCTCGGGTTAACGGATACTTGACTTGGGCTTAATTCTCTGGCCCTTAGAACAAAGAAGGCATAATTATATTTAGACATACATCAGCGGAGGCCGTCCCTGTCGTCGTCTGACCGAATGTTCGAATATTGTACGTGAGTTCAATTTCCACGAGAGGAGATTTGATGGATTAAACCACGACACGTAAAAAGAAACTCGATTCAGGAATTTTGATTTGGATAAAAAAGAAAAGAACATAAAAAATATACCAGCAGTGTATGTTTTCTTCGCTTGATGGAGATGGATTTGAAAGAAGAACATTTTTTGGTTTTTCTTTTGAAAGTATTATTGAATGAGTTAATGCTTGCGTGCTAGGAACAATGGTTAATTAAGTTAACTTTTCTCAAATCATTTACATCGGAAAGTTTTTCGGCTAGTTTGTCAGTTCATTTATGAATAAGTCTCGAGTGAAATGTAGTTCTTAGTCTCTACTCACTCACTCACTCTACTGACTCGTGATGAATCACATGTAAAGAAACGAACTGACATGCGGGCACTTGCAATTTCGTGCTCTGTCGGAGCGACAGGGTAGCACAGAGGTTACAGCGCTCGACCGTTGCGGGGAACCGGGTTTGATTCTCAACATGTGCTGTGACGTAACGAGAATGTTGAGCAAACTAATTTTGGGATCATGCATATTTTAAAGGATATTTGTTATGAAATTATATGGTCAGTCTTCACTAAATTTATGTATTACCCAAATTATTTATGACCACTAACGTTGTAGCGACGTGAAACGTTTCTTTTTTCAAATATACAAAACGTCAAACGTTAACGTTATGAGGAAAATACACTCTCCCTTTCCTCCCTTCTCTCTCTCTCTCTCTCTCTCTCTCTCTCTCTCTCTCTCTCTCTCTCTCTCTCTCTCTCTCTCACACACACACACACACACTCACAGCATGTTTTACCACCTTCATTACCTCTCACAAACCACGAGGAATAATCCCCCCGTCTTTAGCCAAATCCGGGCACAACGTTAGAGGCTTTGAAAATGTATTTTTACCAATATCAATACAAGTACAAAACGCCACGAAAGCCAAATGTTTTGTAAGGGATCAGCTCTAACACTGCCCTATCTTACCACACCCGTGTTTTTGTCCCCCTCGTATTCCAGCGACCCACCCCCTGTCGCACCAAGACATAATTTGGCTCAATCCCAAACACGGGTACTGAACATATTTGACAAGAGGCAGCGTCACAAGTGAAACGTTTCTCCTCCAGTGTCTAATTATGTGATACAAACGTTTCATTCCCTATTATCAACGCAGTCTGTCGAGCTTTCCGCGTCCATAAGTAATCTGACACGTCTTCACAGCCAACTGAGCTGTTGCGCACTGGCAAAATTAACCTTCGACCTGGCAGGTATAAATTCCGCGTTCAATGTCGGCACAGCCATTTTACGTACTTATTCACACATGGAGGTCATACACGAGGTGGCAATGAATACTTAATCATTCGTTAAAGGCGATGCTTGTTTCCTAACTTATATTTTCTGTTCTGCCTTCCGTGAGACCGTAATGGTCACGCAGTCTTGATGCCACTGGAATGACACTAGGCACTCAATAATGTGTCCCTGAACGTGTCGCTCCCCGTAAGATTCTCATTTGGTATCAATGTTGGAAAAACATTACGTTTAACATGTGACACAGGCACTGGTGTCACCGAGTACGTGACACTCCCGGAGGCATTGCTGTGACAACAGAGAAGCATTACGTTGGAGTGTCCATTTCATGCTCTCTTTATGAGGTATGACCGACATGAAGTCCAGGGAGGGGTATTAGCGAACACCTGGTGTCATTACTGATTTCCAACGATCTTCATAATGTTTACTACCATTTTGCTTTTACACCCAATCTGTTTGCAGATAATCGATGCTGATTAATCCCGGTTTAAAGTTATGGAATGACTAATCTCCGATACTGCATTGTTTTCCGTTGCCTTTCTATTTAAAACATGACATGTTGTTTAGAATTTAAATTGTTCATGGTATTGTTTACTTAGTTGACGAACTCATTTAAGGATAATCATTATCCTAATGTCATAAAAAACTGGCACCAACACGTTTTATTATTCCATGCCAATATCTTCCACCATCTCATGAGTCTGTTCCTCATTAACTGAACGTAATACAATGAATCTATGTTTCACACGGCGAGTGACAGTATCGACCCTAAGACCAATTTGAGTGTGTGTTTCTGTGCGAGCGGCTAGCCCTGGTACATCTCACTTAACACGCTCGCATGTAGCCCTGTAGCCGGAGACATGCCTCAGTGACGACAGGTGCCACGTTGAAAACACACCTTGCAAATTGTAAATCGATTCAGAGAGACAACACCGGGCCCTTTCTTGAAAACCAACACGTGCGCTCTCTGAAAAAAGAGATTTAGAAAATTGTCCCGATTAAACCTTGACCGTAGTATAAAGTTACCGCTGTGGTAATCACGGGTGTTTTGAAAGCCCGGGTGGCATAGTATGTAACGGGGATCGAAACAATACTGACTTCAGGTTTAAAACTGCCATTGTTTGGAGGACTTCATGACAAGAGTTTAGTCAGCCGACCGGGGCTGACTTTCGTTTTGTGTGTGACAGATAAGTTGTGAAAGATCGACAAGGGAAGATATACCTCGTTTGACACTGTCTTTTCATCTAAATGAGAAAACCTAAACGCCTTGTTGGACTTTCCCACTGCGGTAATGATAACCATCTCATCGCATGCTCCTGGCCTGGCAATTCTATATACGTGGGGGCTAGTTCGGTAATCTAGCATACCTTTTCTCTTTTCATAAAGACAGGAAATCGTCATCAATTATGCTACAAGACGTGATACCCAACACAGTCATTGGTATCATAATTTTACTGATAATCGACTCTGATTTGTCGCTCTGAAAGGAAAAAGTGTCATGTTTGTTTCCATGGAGGTGTGTGTTACGACCTGTTAACTCCAAACTGTCGTAAGTGTCGAGGTCACGGCTGGTGGCTTACAAGCATATGTTCCTGGTGTGTTCTTGGTGTGTTCTTCTGGGTCTTGGATGTATTGATATGTTAATTATGTAACCATTTTACCTTGCATTTTATGCATGTAATCTCACTGCTGAGACTAATCATTGCATCGCTCAAATGGGGTGTGAAAACTGATGTTATGTTTTTTGGGTTTCTTAAGACGAACTCAATGAAGGCAAGACTGACTATTCCTTGTTCTTGACGTTGACTATATATAATTCATTCTGTTTTTGCGAGGATGTGTAAGGTAAATTATTAAACACATCTGTAGTGACTGAAAAGTAGTATAAGAAAGTATAAATCCATAGTTGATCATATCCACATTGGAAACAGACAAGAAATGGTTTCTACCTCGTGGTGTATTTGATTCGGGCATCAAAGTTGTATTTTAAAGCTTATGTTTGCAGCGTTTGACAAATGTTTTTACCCTGGAAAAATGTGCCTAACGTTTTGCACTTGGCTTGGCTTGTTTGCATACGTTTGTTACGGATGCCATTGGTGGGGCAGTATACCAGGACACCTGGTGTCAACACGATTTGATAGCGATATATAAACACGTTGTTTTGATGTAGTCAGAATCAGGCAACGGTCTCTGCTTTCATACGAACAAGGAAGAGATTTGTGTCGCTTGTATGGGGTCATGGTCAAGACTGGGTCTGGTCTACTGGTAAGATATGATCATATTGAACACTGACATCACTGTCACAAAGTCAGTTCATCACCACATATCCATGTAACAATATCAAACTTTTTTTTTTACAGACGCATGTTCCCGACCTTGCGTGTCTCCTTCACTGGCCTTGAACCTGAACAACGCTACATTGTCGTCATGGATGTCGTGCCAGTGGACAACAAGCGCTACCGGTACGCCTATCACAGGTCGTCGTGGCTTGTGGCGGGGAAGGCAGACCCCCCTCTGCCTGCTCGTTTCAATGTCCACCCGGACTCTCCATTCACAGGGGACCAGCTCATGAAGCAGACAGTGTCCTTCGAGAAACTAAAACTGACCAATAATATTCTGGACAAGAGTGGTCATGTGAGTATATACATTTCATACCGTCAGTATGCACACATGCAATTGCTTCTAGGAAGATATTACGTGACGAAAGAGCATTGATATCAGATATTCTTTAAAACTAGTTTTATGTATGTCTATGAACTACATGTATGGCTTATGTGACGAACTACATAAATAATTAATAAACACACCTAAAGTGACTGGACGTTGTTGTATAAAAAATATAAACCCATGGTTGATGCTATCCAAATATGAAACAGACAATGAGTGGCTTCTCTCTGGTGATGTATTAGATTCGGGCATCATGGTTGCTATTTTTTGCAGCGTTTCGACAAAAGTTTCATTCTCGTAACGTTTGGATAAGGTTTTGTAGACTTCTGGTCAACACAAACAATACCTCAAGATAGTTTCCCATGATGAATTACGTCGAATATACAATAAGGTTGTACAAGAAAACTGAATGCTTCATCAGAACAATGCTTTCATTCATATAACTGGATATGAAAATGAAATGTCCCGATTTCGCCTTGCAAAAGTCCGATTTCATCCACAAAAGTAGGAACGGCCTAGACCTTACTGCACCTATCGGCAAGAATACGAATTACATCCCAGTAGACTTCACCTCACTGAAAAGAAATTTACTGACTGGAAAATAATGATCAGCAATCTGAAGTAATATAATTTGAAGTTTATAGTATGTAATCAAATTCATATAACATGCTATAAGGTATCCATCAAACACCATTTAATTACAAGATAGAATACATGAAAAACTGAAAATTTAGTTCAAACCGCTATATATGCATTGAAGTTTACCATGGCGAACTTGATGACTCTTTATGTCAATGCAAATTTTTCAAATGGAATTTTTAAACTCAATTATAAAAGTATATTACTGGAATTTTAATTCAAAGTAATATGAGGGATACTTTAGCTATTTTAAAACATGTTAAAACCTCATATATGTTTACGATATGTATGCAGCTGATTGATAGCCAGTGCTAGAGTGACAATCAAAATCGCTTCGAATCTAATGCTTGCTGTTGCTTATACGTCAACAGGGTGACTATAAATAATGGAACTTCTTTTATCCGAATATGGTTCTAACAGGAAAGAGATTGAAAGCTGAAACACAATGACGCCTCTCAATCTCTTACAAACGTAATGGAAGCTCGTTAATTAAAACGTTTTATTACTTGGGATAAGTACAAACAAGGGAAGAACTGAGTATCGTATACTTTAAAACTGTTAATTGTTCCGAGGGTCCATCAATGGGGACATTCTGGTTAAAAAAAACACTTGTCCGTAAAAAGGTTTTCCCCATAAGAAAATGACAAACCTGGTAGCCTGGGTAGGCCCCTAAATAACCCGGATGTCATGTTGACACTTGTCGAGTGAAATCTGTAATCAGATAAACTGAATGCATGGCATTCCTGAAGGACACGTTAAGTACCCTGGTTTTAGGAAGATGAGTTAAAGAGGCTGGTGTTTAGGCCAACAGTGATGGAGTCGACGGTGTTCCTGGTTGCAGAAGGCGTCGTATCTCCACCAGCATGTGTCAGCGGTAATGTAGGGGCTTTGTATGCAACACAAACACTCCACAACAACTGTTTATTTACCGCGTATCTCATTTCATGAATTTATGTTAGGTCGCGCTATTGCCGCTTGGGGATGCATAGATCACTTCCCTGCCCCACGGAAAGGGTTCTGATAACCCGTGTGTTCCAATGACATGGTGTCGACACACTCGTTTCCCCTCTTCAAGAAGAAAAATAAACATGTCAGTCGTTTTTTGGCTGGTTTAAAACCTGATGTCAAACGCTAAGTTGACACTTATCGGCGTGAGATGTGAGAGTTGAAATGTTGATTTCAAATGGGAGTGACTTTAGATTGCAAGCCATGGGGAATTAACAACTAGACAGTTTTATTACATTTTTGGCGATTTGGTCTTTGGGAAAATTGAAGCTGATGACAAGGTCGTTTACAAAATATGACTAAGCGACTGATAAGAAACACATGTACAGGATATATATGTAAATCGAGGTATTTGTTTCCTTGATGTATATGTCAGTAAATACCATTGTGAGCTTTGTAATATGTAACGCTGATCTGTGATGTATAATGTGGGAAATCGAACAGAAATCGACAACCGTCCCAGCTGTTCAAAATGTTGACAGATCGATTTGACACAACTTTCAATAATGTTTCAGTCACTATTAGTGACTGTGTCTGGTGTGGGGTCGAAATATTACTTCAGACGTTCATCACTTTGGTGTAATCCACAAAGCAAGGGTTTTGTGCTGACACACCTATTATCACAATCAGGGGATTCGAATATGCCACCCACGGATCCGGCTACATCTAAGGGACGTAATTCTGTACAGAGACATGTTACCTTAGACGAACGTACCACCTGCGTGCCCTGAAAAACAAACGGTGAATGATATATTGTTATCATTGATTCAATTCCCTCATTCCTTCCTTCACCAGGATGTTCTGTATTGTAGGTGATCCTGAACTCAATGCACAAGTACCAGCCCCGCATCCATCTGCTGAAGAAGACGGATGATACCCAGCTTCCTCTCTCTAGCCTTGACATGCAGAAGGTCAAGTCCTTCATTTTCAAGGAAACCGTTTTCATTGGCGTCACAGCGTACCAGAATCAGTTGGTAAGTTTACCTGTTTTCAAAAATATGTTTAACATTCTGATCAGATATATAGTAGGTAGGCATAGTGAATCATACATAAACCCGCAGACTTAGTCAAATATATACCTGGGTGCCGTTAAACAAAGCTATCTTAGCGCTAGGGTGACTAACTCCATACCTTAACATAGAATTGAGGTAGTCTTAGCGCTAAGGTTGTTTTGTACAACGGTACCCAGTCTGATACAGCGTTTGTATAATATTCAATGTATACCAGTTACATACAGCGTTAGTCAGATATACATAAGTTATACAGAAATTGGCCATATATATATATATATACCATTTAGATAATGCGTTAGTCAGATATATACCATATACATGTACTTCGCTTGTCACTGACAGATATAACCAGTTAGATTCAGTGTAAGTCAGATATATACCACATACTTCGCTTGTCACTGACAGATATAACCAGTTAGATTCAGTGTTAGTCAGATATATACCCGAAATATACAGTGGGTATGCTTCCAGTAAAGACTACGTAACGATTGCTTCACATATTCATAGTGTATATCATGTTTCAGAAAAATGTTGATATTCGATGAACTTTGTGTATTATAATTGTATCTGATTATATCTAAACAGATAAAATGGAGTATTAATATAAATAAATTGTTTAGCCCTTTAGAATGTGATTTTAATGAATTTCATCATCCACTTGCACGAATTAGATTTACAGTGTATACACATGCCCATGTGCAATGTTTCCCTCTAAAGTGATCGTATTCTATTTTCAGATAACAAAGTTAAAGATTGATAGTAATCCCTTCGCTAAAGGCTTCCGTGACTCTACACGACTCACAGATTTTGACAGGTAATTCAATCTCCTGTTGACTTTTCTAGTAACACCACGTATAGAATCCAGATGCAGCTACTCGCTCCACACTCTGATTGCACAAAAGCTGTAATGATAGCTTCGGTGTAAAAAAGGTGTGGATAGTGGCTATCATGGAAACCTAAAAAGATTGTTGAAAATTCGTCTCAGAATATAATCATTTTCAAGATACTTTGTCCAGTTGAATCTATTGATAGAATTTGTTGTCAAAAAGTATTATTGCTGCATTGTCCTCCTCAGGTTTTGGAAACATCCTTATCACTGATTTCTAGTTATCCATTTTTACTTTTATGGCTATTTTGGCTTTAACCCCGATTTGAATCTGTTTAAGCAGAGAATCGCGACTGGTTATTTTGGCGTAGACGTTTTAGATTAGAATGGAGTTTTAGTTATAAGTGAACACCTTCCTACATTGCCATCGCGATGCAATTTGATGTAAATTGAAACGGCGGATAGGAACTGCTGCATTGTTTTGAAACAGTGGAAAATAAGTGTTGCATTGTTTTGAAATAGCGGATAGTAATTGCTGCGTTGTTGTGAAACAGCGGATAGTAATTGCTGTATTGTTGTGAAACAGTGGATAAAAATTGTTGCATTGTTTTGAAACGGTGGAAAATAATTGTTGCATTGTTTTGAAATAGCGGATAGTAATTGTTGCATTGTTGTGAAACAGTGGATAGTAACTGCTGTATGGTTGTGAAACAGCGGATAGAAATTGTTGCATTGTTTTGAAACAGTGGAAAATTATTGTTGCATTGTTTTGAAATAGCGGATAGTAATTGTTGCATTGTTTTGAAATAGCGGATAGTAATTGTTGCATTGTTTTGAAACAGCGGATAGTAATTGCTGCATTGTTTTGAAAAAGCGGATAGAAATTGTTGCATTGTTGTGAAACAGCGGATAGTAATAGCTGCATTGGTGTTGAAACAGCAGAAAATAATTGTTGCGTTGTAACATATGTTATATTTGGGATTACACTTTCTTAGTAAAGTACAGATTCTAGTACTTTTGTTGGGCTGAGTCCCATCCGGGATTCAAACCCACACCCTCAGAGTCAGGCATCTAATCGACAGCAGACAAAGTCAGACGCCTAGACCGCTCAGCCACCGCGGCTTCCACAAAAATGGAAGTAGGACAACTGGTAGTCTAGACTGCGGACTTTGTGTACCCCTCTGATAAGTGTTAATGGCCGAAAGCTATGAAATACACAATGTGTGGGTTCGAATCCCGGATGGGACTCAACCCAACAAAGGTACTAGAATCTCTACTTTACTAAGAAAGTGTAATCCCAAATATAACATATGTTACATTTGACCACTTTCTAAATGGCATTGTGTATTTCATAATTGTTGCATTGTTTTGAAACAGTGGATAGTAATCGTTGCATTGTTTTGAAACAGTGGATAATACTTGCTGAATTGTTTTCTCCAGGGAAACTATGGAACACCTCCTCCAGAACCACTCGTATGCGAGATCCCCCCTGAAGGCCTTCACACCTGGCGAGATGCTGGAGGAACACTACAAACAGGCGGGTCAAGGTGAGCTAGTTACTACTTTTGTTAATTGTTTGACTCTACACGTATGAATATTGGAGTTGTGTGACGGTGGCCTCTAAATAATCCAGTCTGCTCCAGACAATCCGGTGACTGACATAAAGAGTATCTGTCTGCGCAACTTGGATACAATGACATGCAAAAAAACCCACAGCTAAGCGAGTCTGACCACCCAAACCATTCAGGGGTCTTACGAGCATACTGTGGTGAAGGCTAGTTCTAAACCGGATCGTATTTATTCCTATGAACATACGTTACTATATACCTGTATGTACAGAGGCGTCGCGGAAGGATTCGTCCCTCAGGGATTTTAAATTGCTAAAGTTAGGCATTCGCTGTACAAAGTTGCATCCCATCGTGAAGCCAGGATCCTATGACAGTGGGTTTCATTTCACAAGTTGCCCTGATTAAGGTCTATGGTTTGTCAGTACCGTATCCATGTTGGCTGATTTCACCAGAGTGAAACCACTCACACGATCAGTTCTTTGTCTCCTCCCTCATTAGACGACACAACTCCCAAACCATCTCCGGTAATGCTGTATTCGGTACGCCAGAGAGATGGGATACCATCCTTTCAATACTTTGCAGACAATACGAATCATAATTTTTTGGACGAGTCGCAGAGCGAAGCATGTAGGGTTGGCTGGCGCGTTTAATATACAGTTCTATTCCTAATTTGATCCAATATGTGACATCGTTGTTGGTCTTCCCCACTAGAATTAGCCTGGTAAATCGGGGACAATGCTCGTTACTATTGATTTGGTATCTGGCAGTAGTACAGCAGACCAAACTAGCTGGAACTGTGTTGACGTTAATCATCAGTGTTGTCTATCAAATCCGCTAATTGCACATCCTCTCAAACCTGTCATCCACAAGAGATGTTTTACTGGGATGAAAACAATTAATGATACAGACAAACGTCATCAAAACCCTGGACTTTCGTTAACACCCCCGACCCTGTCAGTTATAAAAAAACAGAAATCGTGAATAAGAAATAAGCTTTTCCATTTCAATTACACATGTTTCACCGTATCTGACATTTAAAAATATAAAAAATACAAAAATAAGTTTGCAATCAACGTGTCGATTAATTTAAATCTTCTTCTTCTGTAATAGAACACTGTAGGATATTATTTCCGGTTTGAGTAACTTCCAAAATGTGAAAGATGATGACTATATAAAAACGAAAAGAGAATCGTCGATTAAGCCATGTTGACGTTTAGATAGCAAGAAATGAAACACAGAAGGTTACATAATATCAAAAGAATTCATCTTGAAGTCTTTATTTGAATTGTGAAATACAGAAAATATGAAAAACGTCTGCCTCAGCCGAGGACATATCGTCGGCTCAGACATTGGCAGGCGCTACATGACGTTTTCCGTTGGAAAAACCAGAGGGGGGTTTCATTTCTTCGTAGGATGACAAATTAAAGAAGTGGAAGTGTCAGAATGTGTTGAAAAAACACGCAGTTGGATATCTCTTATGTATGAATGTTGTTGATAGGTTCCCGGTCGGTTATTTCAGGACTGTATTGCTGTAACTACCGTTCGAACGACAATGTTACAGTGTATGGCCTTAGCGTACATACGTCAGTGTTACAGTACATGTACCGATCGTACGTACGGCAGTGTTTCAATATGGACTGATCGTACGTACGGCAGTGTTTCAACATGGACTGATCGTACGTACGGCAGTGTTTCAATATGGACTGATCGTACGTACGGCAGTATTTCAATATGGACTGATCGTACGTACGGCAATGTTTCAATATGGACCGATCGTACGTACGGCAGTGTTTCAATATGGACCGATCGTACGTACGGCAGTATTTCAATATGGACCGATCGTACGTACGGCAGTATTTCAACATGGACCGATCGTACGTACAGCAGTGTTCCAATATGGACTGATCGTACGTACGCCAATGCTACAGAACATGGACCTAAGTTACTTCAGTCATGTAGATGAAGCGAACATGCTTGCGTTCGTCGAAGTGACCTTGAAGTCATGACCTTTCAAACCTCCACACTTAACAGGCTCTACGTTAAAGCAGGGGACCTGTTTTGTGACCTCTGAACTTCTGAACCAAGACGTTGTAGCAAAATATATACCCAGAAAATAAAAATGCAAATGCAAATGGAGAACCCAGACCAATGATGAATTTCAGGCGGTGAGGCAATCTGACCATGCTCAGTAATCCCAGGCTTCATATAGACTTCTTTTCTAAGATTTTCTAGGGTCTGTTAGCCATTAGAGCAGGTTTAGTCTGTCTCACAGTCCCGGAACCACATTATATTGTTTTCTTTCCAGCCCAGCCCTCCCAGCAATGCTAAAGCATTAAATGTAGCAAATCATTTGATTTCCTCGGGTTAAGGTTGAATCTCCCATCTCACTGGGGCTCTTGTCCAATTTACATGGGATCATTTGTTACTATCAAAATTATATATACTCAGAGACTAAACGTTAGTGTAAAGCAGTATAAACGACAGTGTTAACTCCGGACTGGGTAAACAGAATGCACGACAGACGGGATAGTCAACTAAAGCGTCCTTGTGAAAAACTGTAATCTTAAAATGTGTAACTGATCTCTTAATGCACCAATAAAGACTGGCAAACTGACAGTTGACACGGTTTCAAACATGGTAGGGGACACCAAGATTTGTTAATGACAAGACCTCCAATACCATTACTGCAAATAAACTAACTGTTTTTATCTTATTTCAGAACCACCCAGCATGCCCGTCAATATGATATCACCATGGAGAATATCTATGTCAGCACTCAGTGCCTATCACGCATCAGCCAATGAAAAGCCCCCGTGCAATCTCTATGGTAACATGTTCAACCATCCATATTTAAATCTACGTAATGACATCCAATCAGCAGCGACTCTCAACGAGATGTTGATACGTAGCGCCATCTACAAGAAGAGCCTCCAATCAACGTCAATTGCTAGTCTATATGGCCACGCCCATCGGTTTCACCCGTACCTACAGCCAGAGAGTAATGGCAAGGAAGATTCCTGAAGGGAGCGGATGGAGGGAGCCTAATGGGGATGGTGCAATGTTAACATTTTATGACAATGAGAGATGTGCAATGTGTTTGGACCGACTGTGATTAAGAGATAATTTGTGTTGTTGACTTTATCCTAATGAATGGGACGAACAGGCTGTTGGCCAGGCAGAGATTCTTCTGGAAAGAGATTAAACGAACCGATACAGTGAATATGTTCTTGCAGATGTTAAATCTCGTCTTAAGATTTAGAGTCTGCAAATATGCCATTCGTATCATCTTAAACTCTTTCGACACTAGACTCTTGGAGTCCACAATACTGGCTGTGAAGTATGAACATTGTACCCTGAGTAGCTGTGAAGTCATTCTAGAAGCTGAGGATGGGGCGTCAGTTGGATGCTCATGAAGCTTAGCCTTCACCATCACCTGTCTCTCCAAGCATCACTATGTGTCAGTCTTGTACAGTGACGTCATTGCCCTATGTGTTACCATGGTGACCTGTGCCTTAGGTGCCGGTTCTCTGATCTCACATTGCCATGTTCATCACTAGCGCCATCAACACAACACCCTGTTCCAGGTGAGTTCAGATGATGTAATGTAGTTTCATATGTAAAGGTTCAGCACGGAGCTCATATGAAAATTGATATTTGAAATTAATTGAGGTGACGACACTTGTTTTCATGTTCAGAAATTCTAGTACGTTTATGATTACTCCACACAGATCCATTCTTATGGTGTAGAACGTTTAATAAAAACTTTATGCTATGGACGAACAGTTTGAGACGAAAAGAACAGTTTGAGACGAAAATATCGCAAACATATATTATAGATGCAAACAAAATGTAAAACGTAAACACTAAAGAATAGCCTCGGTTATCTGCCGAACCAAATTAGATTGGGTGAAAGGCAAAATAGCCGTGAAAATGATGTGAGATCCTCTGCTGATAATTAGACAAAAACGTTATTGGTTGGAAGATATTTTGATGCGTATAAAAATAACGACACAGAATAGTTCATGATCATTTTGAATAGTATGACACGGTAATATATTAGTGTTACTTTACAGTGATGCCATAGTGCTATTGTGACCTGAAGACTTAACTCTGACAATTTGTTTTCAGACAGATCCATCGAGTTCATGGGTAGACAGGCGCGTTGTGCCTCCGAAGTCCAGATGAGACGCTAAGCTCCTTTCACCCCTTCGCTCACCTGCAAAGCTCATTGAAATAAGGCTCTAGGTGTCGCAACATGTACATGTGGTACAGAGGAGTTCTGTGATGGCAGCCATGGGTTGCAGTCACGCATATTTCAAGTGCACTGACAGAAGAAATCCGCGAGATTTAAAACTTTATGAAGTCTATTAAACTATTGTATATATACGTATATTGTGTAAAGGATTTTATTAAAACTCTATGTTATGTTGTTGCTTAATTATGAACATTCCGCTTTTGTTTTAATTAAAGATGTCAGTCTCTCTTTCAGTATTTTGTTGACTTTATAAGGAACACACAGAAGAAGGAGTGGAGATATTGATGCATTAAACAATGAGTGAGTGGGTTGGCAAATGGAAACATCTTGACGTTGACCAAACCGAACAGGAGAACTGTCTTTAAAGAATGGACACATTTCTTTTACACGACAAAATACCCTTAAATTGATTCCAAACCATTCAACCGTATTTCATTCAAATTTAAAAAAAAAATAAGCTAAACGTAACCGAATCGTCTCTTGAATTACGGAAGAATTAAGAATTATGTATTATTCATGTATGTTCTTTGACAAGACTTTCAAATTGAATTAGAATCTAAGTATATAAATTGTACTAAGTACGAATTTGTTTAAAATTATTTCCAATTGGTTGTAGGAGTTAAGTATTAACTCTATCATTAGGAACGTTACCTACCTTTAACCTATAAGGAACCTAATCTGGAACATGTTTTCAGAAAGCTGGACAGCATGCTAGATGGAATGACACAGCAATACTCGACTCGACTTACTCATGTGACAGCAACTCTTTGTTAGCAAACCATTCGGATGATACGGAGTGGATTACGATTGTGAAATGATATATATTGCATACGGTGATGAACAATACCTCATCAAGTCATGCCAACTGTCTACTCCAATAGGTTGCGCCTTTGAGAAGCATTCAGCTCCAGCGGCACCTTCTTGGATGACAAACATCGTGTAATGTAACGCATGTGGCATGTTGCAACGATGTATTACGCTATCAGGACTATACAAAACACACGCATTAAAAGTTTATATTTAACATGATATCAAACAGGTGGAATGAGCTGGATTCGAATAAACTGCAAACATATCGTATGATCAACAGCGTTGTGTTGATAGCGTTACGAGATACTGACAAGGTGAAATGCTTAGTGAGTGACACATTGATTGACGCACATTGCACGCGTGCCATTTCGTTTTAATTATAAATGCTTCAACACATACGCTATTGCAATGTTAACTTTCGAATTTGAAAGATTAGACATGCCTCCACGTTGTGTGGTCGTCATACCTCCATACTTTTCATACTGTGCCACACTCATTCCTCCATAACTTTCACCCATATATCCTATAGTTCGAGAACTTTAAAAGCATCATTTGAATGGTACACTGCTTAGTAACATACATCATTTGAAAATGGGAAAGGAACCAGTTTTATTAAGAAGTACTGACTTACCAAACATTTGTTTGGAGATAGAATATCATAGAGTTGGAGGATATAGGTTGAATGACGAACCCGGTGCTGGTTAGTTTTCCGTGATTCAGAAGGGCTGTATATGACAGCACTACTATAGATATTCCATGTAGAGCGTTTGAATAACGAACCCGGTGCTAACACGTTATTCGTTATTCGAAAGACGAATAACGAAACACGAACCCTCTGGAAATATGGTAGGCTATATTTATCTTACATTTGATAGAATTGATGGTCACACATTTAATAACGAACCCAGTACTGGTTAGTGTTTCGTTATTCAGAAGTTCTGAATAATTAAACACCTCATGCTCATTTGGTGCAACTGTGAATGGAACCCAGCTTCAGTGTATATATATGACACTACTATAGACACTACTATAGATATTCCATGTAGAGCGTTTGAATAACGAACCCGCTGCTAGCACGTTATTCGTTATTGAAAGACGAATAACGAAACACGAAGGCTGCTCCACACTTATTCCTCCATAACTTTCACATTGTAATATTGTCATACCTCCATAATTTTCATACTGAGCCACACTAGTTCCTCCATAACTTTCACATCGTAATATTGTCATACCTCCATAATTTTCATACTGAGCCACACTCATTCCTCCATAACTTTCACATTGTAATATTGTCATACCTCCATAATTTTCATACTGTGCCACACTTATTCTTCCATAACTTTCACATTGTAATATTGTCATGCCTCCATAATTTTCATACTGTGCAACACTTATTCTTCCATAACTTTCACATTGTAATATTGTCATGCCTCCATAATTTTCATACTGTGCCACACGTATTCGTCCATAACTTTCACATTGTAATATTGTCATGCCTCCATAATTTTCATACTGAGCCACACTAGTTCCTCCATAACTTTCACATCGTAATATTGTCATACCTCCATAATTTTCATACTGTGCCACACTTATTCTTCCATAACTTTCACATTGTAATATTGTCATACCTCCATAATTTTCATACTGTGCCACACTTATTCTTCCATAACTTTCACATTGTAATATTGTCATGCCTCCATAATTTACATACTGAGCCACACTCATTCCTCCATAACTTTCACATTGTAATATTGTCATGCCTCCATAATTTTCGTACTGAGCCACACTCATTCCTCCATAACTTTCACATCGTAATATTGTCATGCCTCCAATATTTTCACAGTGTTACAGTTATACCTCCATTATTTTCACATTGTGTTATAGTCATTTCCATGATTTTCACATTGTGTTATAGTCATACCTCCATATTTTTCACATTGTTTTAAACAGTCATGCCTTCAATAATTTAACATTGTGTTATAGTCATTCCTGCACAATGTCCACACTGTGGCATAGTCACACCTCCTTAACTTTCTCAAGTTGTTATTCATAGGCGTCCACGTATCGTTGTCGCCCTTACTGAGTGCCTTTGTGCTGGTACAACTACCCCTGTTTGGAGCACCTACAATAACGGTTAACCGACACATTTCTTCACTGCATTTCCAGATCTAACTGTGCACATACTACAACTGTTATGCTTTCAGAGGGGAGAGAACAAGGTTTGACTAAAACTATGTTTTACTGTATATATAAAAAAAACATCTAGCAAACACAAACACATATAATTTCTTCAACGTGTAGTGATATAGTTTCAGTTAACATTAAGAAAACAGCAAAAATGATTAAAAAACCCACAAACATTCACAATTATCACCGCATGGTTCTCCGAGAATGATTTTTGTCAAGACAAGAAGAAGATGCTGATTCAAGATTCAACTCCACAGCTCCTGCCAAGACGACAAAGCCCCTGGAGACGACGTTCTGCCATTGGCGTGCTGATTTGTCACATCACAACACCTTATGCCATTACAATTAGGTAGCTGGGACAAAAACACGGGCTGACGACTCGAAATATCGTTTTTGACATGCTGTTACATCATTTAGTTGTGATGTCGACATCAACTTGACGATTTAATCTCATTATACTTGGCATAACGACAAAATTTCTATGCTAACTGCTAGTGCTGTGCCTGCATACAGCAGGTTGAGTGGGTCTCTACATTCACAGGAAGGTCGTCAGACCAGCACTAGCAATCTAACACAATTATTTATGCATATCAGCTTTTAATAATTATGAATCATAGAAATAAAAAAGTCAGAAGCGAGATTGCAGGGTGGGCGTGTTGACGTCATATTACTGTATGATTGCCAGACTACAACGCGTGCGAGAACAATTGGTAACATCATCTAGTTTTTATGCAGGTCATGATGTAGGGAAGAGCTTCTCCTTGCAATATGCGTGAAAGAGAACTTATGGTAACAACATACGGGTAACACAGCGCATAATGTGGGTACGATCGTCCATTTGTAATGTACGCCAAAGAGAACTGATGGTGTCAACACCAAAGTCAACACATACGGTTCTTCGATACTGGTATATTCGCGAACGAGTAAAATAATCGAGGTCAATACAGCTCATTACGTGAGGAAAAACGCATCTTCGATGCTAATATATTCGGGAACGAGTAAACTGATCGAGGTCAATACAGATCATTACGTGAGGAAGAACGCTTCTTCGATGCTGGTATATTCGCGAACGACTAAATGATCCAGGTCCATACAGCTCGTTTCTTGAGAAGAACGTTTCTTTGATACTGGTATATTCGTGAACGAGTAAAATGATTCAGGTCCATACAGCTCGTTTCTTGAGAAGGACGTTTCTTTGATACTGGTATATTCGTGAACGAGTAAAATGATCCAGGTCCATACAGCTCGTTTCTTGAGAAGAACTTTCTTTGATACTGGTATATTCGTGAACGAGTAAAATGTACAGCTCATTACGTGAGGAAGAACGCTTCTTCGATGCTGGTATATTCGCGAACGAGTAAAATGATCGAGGTCAATACAGCTCGTTTCGTGATGAAGAAGGTTTCTTTGATACTGGTATATTCGCAAACGGGTGAAAACACCAAGGTTTATAATGCTGATATTGTACAGAAGCGGCAAACTTCAAGAAATATATGAAACATAACTATGCTGAAAGCACTGTCCAGTGCTAGAATAACAGTATTTGTTGATCACATAGTCAGGATACTATGTGTTCAGGAAAAAGATTCCAATTTAATGAAAAACCTGGGACTTGTGGAAGCTACCGGTAGAACGGGACATGCTTATCCTGTTCATGAACACCCGGTGTCGTTAATTTACACTGGTCCATTCATATCCTTTTCATTGCTAGTTTTCCTTTCTCTCATCCCGGGAAAGGCTTTACCTGAGAAATATGCATTGAGGAGAGCGTGCAGTAAAACATCAAGGTTCCTAAGTTTATTCTATGTTTTGTGTATGCGCTACATATCATGCCAGCTTTAACGATGAATCAGAATGACCTGTAGAAGTTCCGTTTAAGACTGTGAAATAAATCTTATATTTGTATGACACATGACAGTACGTGGGGATTACATCGTCTAGCTTTATTGATTCTCAGCTGGGATTTTGTTTTTGCTGGCTATATCGACAGTTGGCTATATCATGTATTAACACTTTGTACATATGACCATTCTAAGAAAGGATCAGCAATCCCTTCTGTGGAACCCAGCTGACATAAATTCTATCAATAGTGCCATCTCCCACTTTCAGTGATACGACACTGAAGGTTACTTTTCACAGGTCATGCATCGAAGAAAGTCTCATCACATATCATCGACCTCTCTCTTAAATAGTAAGACATTTCAACATTATAATATAATCAAACAACTGTT